GTTAAAACAGGTGTATATATTTTTCCAATGTCTACAGAGAGAATGTAATACTACCATTTACTTTTTATTATAAGGAAAAAGAAATCTTGCTTCACCAGAGTTAAAAGTACTTTAGCAGAAATGAACTCATGTAATTTCACTGACTCCCTGGGAAGAAATTTGGAGAACATATTAACTTCATGTTATATATAAGATATTGTCTGGAGAGTTGACAATATATCATCATGGCTCATGATGCAGCCTCATCTGTCCACTGGACAACATACTGGATTTATAAACACAGTCTGATTTAAAATAATTTTGAGATGAAAAAAATCACATCATCATCTTCCAAAATACTCCTCCACTGAAACTGTTCAGAAGAACAGATTATAAGAACAAAGGAGGAAAGCAAAGAGGAAAATCTGGATAATTTCATGTTCAAATTATCTTGTTTCTTTGAACCTCATGGCTACATAGAGCATCAGAGAGTAAAAAAATGGAATGATTCTTTTCTCATCTTTATGTAATCTGGAATAGTAACTATTTTTTTCCACAGGATAAATTTTAAATTACTGTAGAAAGAAGAGGAATATAAAAGATGAGAAGCACTGCTAAAATTCCCACACGGTCTCCAGGGGGGAAGTCCAAGTAACCAGCAAACCTCTCCTTGGAGAAGTTTTTAACTGTTAATATGGTTAATCCATTTGGAACACCTTGTTCTAAGCAGAGACACAAAAGAGAGTTGCTGTAAAATCTCCTACTTCAACTCCCAAGAAGACAACAGTGGATTAGGTGACCAGGGAGACTACTTGGAAACTTCCATGCTTGTGGTGTTTCTGAGTCATGTCTTTAGTCAGGGATAGAGCTGATTTTGAATGATGCGGCTCATGCTTCAGTAATGTGTAGCTCTAGACAGATGGGCCATATGGAAACTATGAACTGGCTTCATAGACAGGGCCATGGTGAGCCAATGCAGCATTTTTATGTTTTCTGTTTCTGTTCAAGTGGTCTAGTGAACAATATATTATAAGACATAGTATATTATGTACCTTTGCTTAAATTCTGAGTAGTGATTATTTTTAATGCTATAGATGTTTTTAAAAAACAGGACTGTCTTGCTTGCTTTCTTTGGAAAAACATGCTTTCGTTTAACAAAAAAGGCCTGAAATATTTTGCATGTTAAATATATTCTAATTCTTCCCTCCAAGGTTCTGGTTTGCTTTGATGCATCAATAAAAAATCATGATCTACAAGTGGGAGGGAGTTATGAAAATCATAGATGCCAAAGATTTTCTCTCCAACAAGATCCAGTAATAATTTATAACACTTTCCTAAAAGATTCCAATTACAAAAAAAATTTCAATTTTCTGAGAAATAGCAGGCAAGCAGGATCCACCAATTATCTTGGGGGATGCAGAGTGGTCATTCGTGGTTTGCTGCTTTAATAATTATTACAAGACTAACAAACATTTTGATTCAAGATTAAAAATATATAGCAAGTATTTTTTTTCTGGATTGCACTTAAAAGATGTAATAAAAAA